CTTCACTTTAAGTCAAAGTAGCTGTGAAAACATAGCACTTAGATTTGCCTTTATCTCCAGAAATATTTAGAGTAACCTTCAAATATTTTTAGTTCCCAAGATATTTCACTGTGACAGATGAAACAGAAATAACTTGAAATGAAATAAGAATCAGCTTACATGGTAGGAACCTTGAGACTCACAGCAGGGCAAACTTGGAATTCTTGTATAATACCCCAAACTTAGATGCACAAAGCTCGCATGTCAGTTCCCCCATCAGCTTTTAAAGTTATGGTTACTAAATTGAATATTACATAAACCTTCATTACTTGATCTTTTTCTTTTTATCAGTACTGGAAAACACAATCACAACTAATGAAGTAGTGATTTGTAAACTTGAATCTAATATACAGTATTCCAAATGAGATTACTGCACCAGCACCAGCATTTAATTTACTTGAAACAGAACAACTGAGTTTCCTTTGGGGAGAGAATGGAATGCCCTGACTTAGTCAGATGTCTATGGACACATCCAAAATGTGTTTCTGTGTCTGCATTTAAAGGCCCTTTAGGGGATCTGAGAGGCATTAGCAACAAGTGTACTTTTTGGTCCTGAGACCTTTAAATGTATTAAACTAACCTTTAATGATTGAGAACCTAAGAGATCATTAAAGAGTTGGTCAAGAGTGAACAACCTGGAACTGCGGAGTAATGTCTTTACTCTGGAGGTGGTTATTCCGGAGTAATTCCTTATTTGCTAAAGTGGATCGTATTTGCTCCCATTATGGCCAAAGTCATTTAGGTTGCCCAGAGTGTGCTCTCTGAATTATAAAGGAAGCTGGATGATCATGTGTGGGACTTTTAAAAGAATCAAAAGAGAAAATCAAGATCTTAGAAAACTGTTTGCTTCCAATAGCTGCTAAAGAGAAACAAGTGTGACTGGAATTTTTCCACCTTTTCCTAAAACACAAGAGTTTACCCATGTTTCCAGGGGGCACTGTTTTTTAAAGCAAATTCAACATTTTTTTTTCCCCCAGAATATAAGTTTATGCCTTTTCTTATTTCTCATTTTTTGATACTGAAGTAAGTGACTAATTTTTTGCTGTCCTGCACCTAATGGCAACTGGGAATACTCTTTAAAGCAGGACAGTGAGTACCATAGCCATGTGTAATCATTGCCTTGATGGGAACATTGGCCTTTGAAACACTTGTGTTTTGGGGAAAGATTTATATATTTGATCGGACAAAGCAAGTTTAATTCAGAAATTGATAAGATATTGTTAGTGGAAATACATAGTTTTCCTATATCACAGTTTGGCCTTTATAAAGATTTGGGGGAAAACTAAAAACCCTTTAGTGTGAATGAAATTCTATCATGTGACCACTCTTAGGAAAATCTTTTCTGTTTTTCCTGTTAAATAGCTCAGCCATTGATTAAACAATGGCAGTTCTTACATGTGTGGCATTATTTACCATTTTACAGATTTTTATGTTACTTACAATAGGCAGGAAAGACAGTAAGTATTACTATTTCTGCTTCTGTGAAGTAAATTGGATTCAGTGATGTCGAATGAGTTGTTCAAGGTTTCTCAGGCAGTGGTTGGTAGAGGTATGATGGGGGAACAGGTTTATTTATACTACTACTGTGTCTTTATTTCCTTACCTTCACTTGTGCGGCTCAGAGTATGGTGTTGGGGACTAAAGAGCAAGTGATGGACTCTGAACACTCTTATCAGTTTGAAATGATGGAAAAACTAGTGTTACACCAGGCCCTCTCTTACATAGAAGTATACATTTAAATTATAGGTGATTACAAGACCACTGGGTAAGATAAACCATGAAGATCAGTGCAGTAAAACTTGGAGCTAATATAGCAGTTTTCAAAGGATCCTGGCATTCTCTAACTTACGTTGGGTATAAAATATATCTCTGATCACTATTAGCATTGGGAAATGGATCTTAAAGTAGTTCATGTGCTGAACTCACTGAACTACTTTCAGAACAAATGATAACATTAGGATAATTTTTGAATCCTAAAACACTCCAAAAATGTGTAATACCGTGTTATTTATAGTTCACATAATTTAATGTTTATTTCAGTCTGCAAACCTAAAAGTACAGTTTATGTAATTAAAGCCTAAATTTCTTAGATAGAAAGTATCTACATCATTTATGTGGGAGGGAATTTTCTTTATTTGATTTTTCTTGTTTCCCATTATTAACTTCATTCCTTCATCACATTTACCGGGTCTGTTAAAATTTGCTACCACAGCGCCTCTGCTGTGTATCGGGACGTAGAGAGGAGAATGGCCCTGTGGTAGTGCTCTTCCTTCTCCTGTAGGATGGGACAGTGCATTGGTACAGCTGAGCACAGTGGAGTTGATGGAGGTGATGTGGAGGAGTGAGTGGTGGCTGAAACCTATGCAGCACTAGGCTCTCCTTTCCCCTCCTGAGTAGAGCTCTCTGTGTCTGTCTGGAGGAGTTGTCTCTTCTGGTTGCACAGATGTCATCCAGATTAGCAGAGGATTCATGTGGATGAATGTTTATCTTATTGGTAGTAAAACTCATAAATTATTAGACAAAAGTGAGGTAGTAGCTAATGATGTGTTGCTGCAATGGAATATTGAAATTTTGGATGTAGCATTGATACTTTTACAATAAAGAGAAAATACTCATGGTGCTCTTGTCCCTTTGTGTCTGCAGAGGGTTGGGTACAGGAATGCCTATTATTTTGGTTACTTTTCTCTCATTGCTGAGACAAAATTCCTGACACCCAAAATTAAGGAAGGAAAGGTTTTTAGCTTATAGCCTGTGGAGGTTTCAGTCCATACTCGGCTGGCTCCAAGGCAGAGTGGCACATGGCAGAGGGCAACTGTTCATGGCTACAAAAGACAGCAAAAGCAGCAAGAGCAAAAGGGAAGAGTGGCAGCAAGCAACCCTTTCTGTCTTTTACATATGCAAACTGTTTGCCCCAGAGTGGGTGTAGCACTTATACCCATAATCCCAGCATTGGATCATGGATCAGTCATAAACTCTAAAAGCCTGCCCCATGACTGCATGAGGCTTGGGGGCACATTCAGACATAAACCATAGCACCTGTGGATACCACAATCAGGAATGCTGAATCTTCGATAGTATGTGGATTGTATTCACAGAGGACCTATGCACATCTTTGTATGTGCTTTAAACCACCTCTAAGTTTCTTATACTATATAAATGCTGTGCAAGTAAGATTATACTGCATTGTTTAGTGGAAAACGACAAGAAAAAGTCTGTATGTGTTCACTATAGATGCAGTTTTTTTCTTTGAATATTTTTGATCCACAGTTGTTGAATCCCGTGGAGGGGCAGCTGGAAGATATGGAAGGCTCACTGCATGTTAACATATGAAAAACACTCAGAGGACTACATTTTGAAGTGTAATGAGGCAGAATATAAGATTGAAGCCAGTTTTAAGTACACTGTACCGTGTTCTAAGATGTAGGATCCAATTGGGTTAGATATATTTTGAAGGCTAGAAAAGACAAGATGTGCTTGGTGAGAACAGTAAGTTAGATGACTTTTTAAAAATTTCCGAAGATAACTCTATTGTGGTTTCACGTATAAAACAATTACATTTTGAGTATTAAGAGAATAATTCTTGTCTGTTCTCTTAATATATAAATGTTACATTGGGTTTTTTTTTAGTAGCATTTCTAGTAGTAGTATTAGTAGTAGTAAAAACGGTCATACATCTTAGGGGGTATGTTTTGAGAAGAGTGAGAGAAATACTTAAAATTCAAATAAAATTAAGGGCCAAATCATGTCACAGGCCAAACCGTTGGATAATGTGATCTCTGCTACATTTCACTGGGGGCTTTATGAGTGTGTTCTTGTTCTGTCCATACGTATGGGTCTGCATGCATAGGAAGCCAGCCCAGTTGCTCCCATTACGGGTGTTGGCACGCAATGGGTGTGGCCCCTCTTAAGTGTAATTCCATACCAAAAAGAAAAAGGCGTCTGTGCCTAATAAGCTGGCTCAACTGAATGCCAAAGAAAATTTGCCTCATGAAATGGAAATTCTGAAGCAAGTTACATAATGCTGAGCAAATAAATAGAAAGACTCTTAAGATACTGTGTATCCACATGGAGCAAATGGTTTATTGTAATCAGAATTTTCCAAACCAGTAATAGTAAATTATATTTGGTGAAATCCAACTGATCCTGGAGATGTGGGAACTTTTATAAATCACATAAACACTTACTTTAATTTTTATTTATTTAACTTTTAAGAAGTAACGGGAACTTTATGCATTTTCCAAAGAGTTATTTTACTATTAGCCAACACTGAGTCATGGAAATTTGTTTTAATTATTTGAGACATTTGTATCAGTCGCAAAGAGAAAAATGTTCCTCAGTAAAACATAGTTTCTTTAAAATTTCTTAATAGCTAAGAACAATGGAGTTATACTCCACTTTGAATATTTGTGTGTTCTCTTTGGTACAGGAAATTCATGCAGAAGCCAAATTTTACCCTTTTCACTCAGCTTTCTCTGTTGCGCCCCTCAAGTGCTTTGATTCCCACTCATCTTTGTCTAGGACTTTATCATCTTGTGTTCAAGATGTTGTCATGGTATCATAGCTGGCCTGGTTCCTCTGTTCTCTCACTTCTCCATTTTGTGATTACATGGCAAATAGGTAGCTGGGTGTGGTGTGTTCATTTGTGATTCCAGCACTCCTTGGGACGCTGAGGCAGGAGGATTGTCCTGAGTTTGAGTTCCGCCTGGGCTACATAGTGAGTTAAAGGCCAGCCTGAACTACATATTAAGATCCTGTCTCCAAATAACAAAACAAAACCCAAAGAAAGAGCAAATAAAAAACAAGCAAAAGACACTCCTCAACTATTTTTTTTATCATGTCATTTCATTCCTCAAGAACTTAAATAACTGTAGGACTGAGATGTGGGTGTTCCCCAGTGGAGGATTTATTATCAGCATGGAGAACTTACGCTCATTATATCTTTTGCTCTGCTTCTCTTGCAGGATCAATGTGACTCTATTAACAAAGGGGTGAATGAGTATCCGTATGAAGAGGAAAACGATAAAGGTTGGTTAGTCAAGCTATATAATTGCATTGAACAATTGCAAAACTAAATTGAGCAGTGTTTTTAGGCAGTCAGTAGAGCGTTTCCTTGTCTGACTGAGTATGAAATAGAGGTTACTCCTGTACCCATACATTTATCTGTAAAATGAGATTTTTCTTTTAAGCCCTTAAATATAAAGACTTTTATAAGGAAGCCATCTGTTTTTGTGCAACTGTAACTGTCATTTTTTTCCAGAACTTCAACCAGGATTTGAAGAATTAACCTTTACGTGGCTTAAAAGATGTAATACCACTTGATAACAGATGATCAGTAGGACCAAAAATAGCCAGATTTTGTTTAAGGTCCATCCATTCCTAAAAGCATAATCTGGAGCCAGCACTGTGTGGTGTCCAATTTCTGTCAAATGCTGTCCTCTTTGGCCCTGCAGTCAGCTTTCTGTGGAGAAGTGGGATCTCCATGAAAGGCTTTCCTGTGGCTTCTCGCAAACACAGTGTGAAGTAGCACAGGGGAAGCCCTGTGGACTTTAGAGCAATCAAATGCTGGGCATTGCTTACTTGTGGTGGTTATTTGAGTTTTTCTTCCACTTCATACTGGCAGTAATATAAAAATCACAGGTAATACTAAAGAAATTACAGTATATTAAACTATCTCTATTTTTTAAATGGCTTTACACTGAACAGATCGGGGTCAAAGGAATGCGCCTCGTAATGCTTCACAGGGCTGCACGATACATACGATGTCGTATTTCCCTTCCCTGGTTACTGTGGCTACTTTCAAATAGGTGTATGGTGTGCCGTACCATTTTCTGCCAGCCTGCTTTCACAGCTTCTTGCAAATGATTCTTGCAGGTTATATCTTCCACTTAAAATTGACTTCTTCCATCCTCACTGCTAAAATTTTTCCTTTCTAGTATTTGTATATGAGAAGTGTTCAGAGGGGCAGTGTTGCGTCAGAGGTGGCGTAAGGGAAAGTGATGGGGATGTCTTACTTTTCTCATTGCTAAGACAAAATACCTGACACTCAACGTTAAAAGAGGAAAGGTTTATTTGGTTCACAGTTCACAGAGGTTTCAGTCCATAGCTGGCTGGCTCTAATGCAGGGTGGCGTGGGAGAGGGGCATTGCAAAGTAATGAAGAAGCAAAGCAGCAAGCCGTAAGCAACCCTGTTTCTCTGTCCCTTATATTTTATCCGGGCTACCCACCCTTAGAGCAGCCTTAATGCTAACATCTCGCCAGGAATCAGTCCAAGCATCACATCCTACATCTCAGTGTCACACACCCTTGATTCAGCCACCTCTGAGAAGCCCCACCAATGCCTACATGAGGCTTTGGGAGGACATCTGGGTCCAAGCCGTAACAGAGGATATAGAAAGTGTTCTTTCCCATGGCCTCAGTATTGGCTGTGTGGTTTCATTTACTTTGTGAGAGCTACTTGTGTAGTGTCCTTTTTTGTGTAGGGAACAGCGATGTACTAATAAACTGGTTCTCTGTGGGGAAGAGGATGGGAACGGGACTGATTTGTCGCTGTGCTTATTGATTCCTGTGGCGCTATACTGGTTCGCTTCAGAAGTTTACCAGCCGGCTTGAGAGAGTCCTTAACATTTATCAAGTGGCGTTTATAACCTGGAGATGAGATAGCTCTAGCACATCTGTGATAATTCCACTCATTCATTAAAGTTAGAAATTATATACTCCTTAAGACTAGTGAGGCAGAAGTAGTAAATTTAAATTTTCTTGTTGTATGTAAACATGAAACTATTCCTTATTACCATGCAAACTGTCTTTAACTCTCTCCTTACATATGATGTTGATGTAGTATTACTTTATTTTCATTCAGTTGTCATTAAATTTGCATTGAATGGATTGGTGCTAGCTTTATAAATTTATAAATTTTGGCAGTGTCATTGCTTTGTAACTAATTTTTGAATAACAACTGAAAATGATGGCAGAGACAATCATCATTTTCCTACTTAGAGGATGAACTGAGAGTGTCACAATTGACAGCTTTATATGTGATTCATCTTAAATGTTCATACTTCATAGATCATTATTCATGGGTTCCAAAGTCCTTATGGGGAAGGGAACAGTGAGTATTTCATTTAATGGGTTTGTCTCTTGACATTTTTCTTTTTGTCTTCTCATATTTTTTTCACATTTTTACTTTTAGATCCCTGAGAACAGAAAATACATTGATGCTTATTTGTAAGTCTGCTTGAATCTGCTGCTGTTAGTTTTTGCAAAGTCTGATTCAGGGAGAAAATAGCATAGTTTGAAATTTATACTTTCTGCATTTTAAATGTATTGACAAGATCAGTATTAAGGTGAAGTTTTAAAAATATCACATGTGGAAGTGCTGTTCCCACAGACTGCGTAATTGAGAAAGGTCTTGAGTATGGCTCCTGAACAGTTTTGTACCTTTCCAGCTTGCCACTCTTGATAAAATCTTGCCGGGAGCCATAGAATATCCTGTTGTACGTCTTTGCTTAGGTTCTAAAATGTAAATGGCCAACTCGGGATTTCTAAAATTTCTTTTGAGTCGCAGACTCTTACTTCCTTCTAGGAGTGGTCTTCATCTGCCCTTTCACTTAAAAAAATGCATTAGCATTAAGTGTGTCCCTCAGTTTCATCACAGGTGAACTTACCTGTTTATCATATGCTGATAGAAAACATTCAGGACATTCTGAAAAGACCCAGCCTTTCATTATTTCGTACTCAGAAACATCAGTGTAAAACCTGGCGTATAGTCTCTGTAATGTATTTCAGCAGTTCTTTCCCTGGTCAGTGTTGTGCCTTTTTGTGGATGTGGCTCTTTGCTTCCGTGATTTTCCAGTCATTTTGCATGTTTACCTAGTGCTTCTCAGCAGCTGACTTAGAGCACATGTTCAGAACTTACACATGTATTTACCTTAGACGTGCTTATCTGAGTTCACGTGAAAACTTTCGCTGTGTGACTGCATCTGATGAACAGCTGCCTAAATCGTCATTATTAGCACTGGGGTGATTTTTACTTTCTGCATTTGGAAACCTAGAGGGCAGCAGCAAGCCTCTGTGAGTGCATTCATTCCATACAAAAAGGGTTTGTTTCAGAGTGATGGGTGTGTTCCCTGTGAGTACTTTAGATTTCTTTTCCTTAAAGTCTAAGGCTTGCTCATCATGGGTATTTTTTTTTTTTTTTTTTTGGTGGGGGCAGTGGGAGGTGGGGGGAGGTTGGGAATTGAACCAGGGCCTTTGCTCTGAGCCACACCCCAACCCCCTTTTTAAAAAATACTTCACTCTGAGATGGGGTCTTGCTGAGTTGCCCAGGCTAGTCTTGAACTTGCGATCTGCCTGTCTGAGCCTCCCAGAGTGCTGGGATTACAGGCATATGCCTTGCACTTAGAACCAAGATTGCCACAGTTCATGGGAATGAAACATGCTGCTCCAAGTGTGTGTGGAGCAGCTGCCTAGGCAGTGAACACAGGATCCTGGGCCCATGGTTTCTCTTTTCTGTATTTCAGTTGTAACATCTGAAAAGTGGAACTGATGGTATTCATCCAACCAGCTGTCAAGAGTTCTTTTGCAGGCAGAAGAAAATGGGAGATATTTGCGAAAAAGATGTAGGGCTGTAGAGTTCTAAATGCGTGAATGGTGCTGATACTGCTGCTTTCACATCATGAGTCAGATTCCTGACAGTATATGATTGCACATCACAAAGTAAACATTTGCACAATCAGAGTCACCCTGAAGACCAGGCAGTCTGCAGTGCCAGTGGTGTACGATGCTGTCTGTAAGACTGGGTTGCTTACCTAAGTATTATGTCAGCTGCTCCTTGGAATTTCTTTCTTCATGTTGCATCCATCCTCTGTATATCTGTATCTATATCTGTATCTATCTAATCTATAAATCAGACGTTCTTCCTGTTCTTCCTTTCACTGAGGCAGATCCATAGATCTGATAATGATACCAAGTAGTAAGTACATGAAAGGATGAATCAACATATCTTACTTAGGGTCACTTCAGCTTGGGGAGCTCATTTGTCTTCTCCGGGAAATGACACCAAAATGATACATAGGGATTTGGGGAAGATTATATTATTATTGAAGTAGAATATTGGAAACAGTGCAGTGCTCATTTTAAAAACATTACAGCATGCAGAACTTACCACCTCCCCTCTTTGTACCTCCTGTTAACGTTTGGAGAGTGCCATTTGAATTTTCCCCCTGTATGTAAATACAGGTAGGTAGACATGGTTTTATTAAAGTGGAATCTTATTTGTACTTTGGTTTTCCACAAAAGAGGACTGTAGTTATACTTCATATTTATATAATGGAAGAAATAGAAATGGGATTTAAATGATTTCAAGTTAATGTCCTTTTACCACATTGATGATACTGAGGGCTAAGAAGCAGGGGAACCGTTTTCCCTTAGTGCTCAGGACTGAAGCAAAGGCCACTGTCATATTAGGCAAATGGTCTATCGCCAGCTCTTTTTTATTTTGAGATAGTGTCTCACTAAGTTACTCAGGCTGGCTTTGAACTTTGGTTCCTCTTAACTCAGCCTCCTGAGTTGCTGGAGTTGTTGGAATGCTGACTGAATTTGATTTCGAGGGGGAGATGGTTCTTTGAGTTAGGTGCTTTGTGTAGTCTAGGCAGCCTGGAACTCAATATGTAGCCCAGGCTGGCCTCCAGCTGATGACCCTCCTGCTCAGCCTCTTTTGTGCTGAGATTACTACAGGCATGTGCCACTCTGCTTGGCTTAAATTTGCTTTTAAATAACATCTTGTAAGTTTTTGATATGAAAGATGGGATAATTGATGACATTCCTAATTCTCTTTCTTCCCATCTTGTCTTACTACTCTTTACAACGAAACATTTTCTCATTAACATGTAGTTTTTGATTCTTATTATCAAGCTGTTTAGTATTAATACGATACTGAGAAGAATCCAAAAATAGCTTCACTGTCATCTGGCACTTGGTGTCACTGAAGGCTGAAGCAGACTGATCTTTCCTTCCGTTCTTGTTTT